TCCCCCCCCCCCGCAGAGCCAATCCCACATGCTGCAGTGGCAGTGGAGGGGAGTTGGCGAGTGTCCAGATGTAAGGCAGGCGGCAGTGCTGAGGAGTCGCCCCATCTGCTCCGCCCATCTCTGCTGGGCCCCCAAAGGGCTGTGCCCAGGGTGGTTGCTTGTACTCGGTCCCCCCTAGGGATGACCCTGCCACCCTCAGGGCACAGACAAGTGTCAGGTGTCACTTACCAAAGGTAGTGTGTAGCACATCGCCATGTCCTCTTTCGAGTTACACGCTGCAGAGGTGCGGGCATCAAATAACACTTGCAGCTTCACTGCACCGCACTTGATCAGCCTGCTGTCTTCTCGAACCCTGGATTTGCATTGCTGTGCCCCCCAGAGGCAAGTCTTATGACTGAGATAAGTCCTTCTCTGCCCCTGCTGTGCTGTCATTCCTCATTTGCCTCAAACCTCCCTTGTCGATATAGCGAACTTGCACCCCGACCTCTGCTCCCCCAATTTATAGTGCTTCAGCGGGGCAACTCCTCCTCCTCCCCCTGTGACTGGCAGCCTCATTTTTGTGTGGAAAAAAACCCAGACACGCTGGTGCTGGGCTGGAGAAGAGCGCAAAAAGAAGGCAGAAAAGTTTGCTAGTCCCTGGGTTTGTGTGCAAGCAAAGTAGGTCTTAAACCCTACACCCAACTCTGAGGCAGTGGCTAATTTTTAGGGGTGTTTGAAGCAGGCCCTAGTTGATTCAGATTTGGCCTGAATCAGGGACAGTGATTTGATTCGGATCACTGTCCCTGATTCGATTCGGCCAAATCCGAAGATTCGATACCGACACAGCTTGTGAACGCTGAAATGCTGGGGTGGATGGAGCATCCCATGGCGGGGGGCCCTCCACGTGCTTGGTATCGAACCTAGAACACTTCCAGGTCCACTGGGGAGCATGTGGGGGGCCCCCTCCCACGCTCCCTTGGCTTGGTGGTCAGCTGCAGGGGGACACCAGGTGCTTGCCCAGACTCAGGAGGCACCAGTCGCCAAGCTGGGGTGAGCACAGGGGGGCCCCCCAGCACGCTCCCTGGTGGACCTGGAAGTGGACCAGAAAGACTTCTGGTCCACTTCTGGGTCTGCTGCCAAATGTGCTGAGGAGTCCCCCGCACTTCTGTGGGACACTCCATGCACCCCAGCATCACAGCATTCACGAGCCACCTGCTACCTTGAGGTATGTAGAAAAAACATTTAAAGTTGTGTCTCTGAATCGCCGAATCTTTCTGAATCTCTCTGAATCGATTCAGAGAGTTCTGATTTGATTTGGAGAGCTTACAGGGTCCTGATTCAATTCAGGCAGTTGCTGCAGGGGGCTGAAGGAGCAACCTCACCCAGCTGACGGCTGCTCCCAGAACAGCTTGGAGGTTCGGGGTAGGAGCTATGGGGATGGACGAGGCTCCTGGTCCTGAGGAATGACCTAAAACTACACCCTGCTGGGAAGGATAGTGTGGTGGGGCTGCTTGTGGCAGGGCAGTCTTTAGGAAATGCCACACCTGGCCTCCCCAGTGAAGGGCAAGTATGGGGCACCAGAAAGCCTCATATAAGCCTGGGTATAAGGCTAGGCCCCAGAGCAGAGGGGCAGGTGCCTCACCCTGCTCTGCTGCAGCCCCAGCACCTGGATAGCTTCCCCAGCACTGGCAGGCACCTGCCTCCCTCACACATGTACACACACCCTAAACACTCCCCAAGACCTGGCCATCAAACCTTTCCCCCCTGCTGCTTGCTGGCTCTGTGTGTGTGTGTGTGTGTGTGTGTGTGTGTGTGTGTGTGTGTGTGTGTACGCATGTGCGCACATGCAGCTTGGCAGCAGAGAGTGGGGAGGGGCACTTTGCCCCCAGCGGTCATGGCCTGGCAACAGAGATTAACACGTGTTAAAACAATTAATGCAAAAACAAATTAATGGGTTAAGACGCCCGTTTAAGGCAATTAATTGACAGCCCTAGTTTTTAGTGATGCTTACTGCGCAGTAGCCTAATACTACTGTGCAGTAGCCTAATACCACTGCACAGTAGTTCATTATCATGGCTTTTGCCCAGCACGCTACCTTGCAGTGGTATTAAGCTACTGCACATTAAGCATCTCATGTAAAAGAGAGCAGGGTGTTGCTATTGGAGGGAAATCCACCTCTCTCTTAGTGGAGACTCTCTTTGAGGCATGGATGAGAAGCACAGAAGATTAGGGGAGCACATCTGCGTATCTTCTGCACTGGAAATACAAGAGAGGCGGGACAGGGGAAACTGAGTCAGCAGCTGCAGAGTAATGGAGTAATGGAGTGATGTGCAGGTCAGGATGTTCGTCTTCCAGGGATCCCAGCTGGGGTTCAGCCTCTCCCCAACACGTCAGAATGAGGGCAATGGGGGCCACTGATTTCAGCAACAGTTTTTCCTTTGAGGGCTGGGGGGGAGCTCATATGAATCCCCAACAGGACATGTCCTTTTGCAGAGGCTGCACCAGTGGCTACTGCTGGGACTCCTAATTGCCCTTGGGTTTAAAGTTTTCATAGGTCTCCTGATCTCGAGTGGTCAGCCCCTGTGAGAAGGAAGAAGGAGAGAAGGTAGAAGTGGATACAAGCCACTGGGAACCCTGCCTCATGGGGAGAGACTCCAGGGATGCAATCTGTTGAGGGACATTGTTGTCACAGTCTCTACGCTCAACTGTGTCACCCTGTAAGCACCCAGTTGGCAGGCTTTTAGCCACAGAGGTGGCATTTTTGACACTTAGGCACAGTGTGCAATCCTGTTACCTCTACAGCAGGGACACGGTTACTGAGTCTGTGCAACATGTGATGCCCTGTCCAGGCAGCATGCAGTGGTGTGCATGTGCATCTGGCGTACAACCCCAGGAAGCTGAGGGGAGGGTGGGAGGAAGGCAGGGAGCCCTCCTACGTTTCAGTGGCTGGTTGGTTAGGGCACTTCACAGGTTCCAGCCTCCTCTGCCCCAGAGTGGTTTGACTCTGCATCTCTCTAACTTCTTAGCACAACAATGTAACCACCAGCTCCAGCCCATGAGCCAGCACCTTTCCCATCCTCCTCTGGACGCTGAGCCACTGTGTCTTGTATTTCAGAATCACTGCACAAAGTAGGCAGAGAGAAGGACAGGAGTTTCTGCCCTCTTAGAGACAAGGGTTGAGACTCAAGGCCAGCTCCCTTCCAGAGCAGCTTCAATGAACCACAGACCCCCCTAACTTGGTCACTTCCTTCTGGTCCCCCCTGGATTTCTCTCTCACCTGTCCAGGGGGCAGCTCAACATCTGTGGGTAGAAGAAGTGGTGCTGGGAAGTATGTAGCATTTTGGTGCTGAATGGGACTCAGAGAAAAACTCAGCTTCACTGGACTGGTGACTGCAGGCTCAAAATCCCAGCCCTGCCCAGTGCCCCTGTGGACTTTTCTGCCAGGTCACTGTCTAGGCCTGGAAAAGCCCTGGTCTGCTGGGCTTAGTCCAGTCTCAAAGCAGCAGTGTAGGAATATTCCCTGTCTTATGCTCCCACCTTTTTCTGCTACCATCCAGGGATGGATCAGGGGAGGATGGGGGATGCAGTGGTACAGTTGGCCCCTCTTGGATTCCTGCTCCAGCCAAGCTTTAAAACCAACTGCCTGAGAGGATTGGCAGCATTTCTATTCAGGCAGCAGCGAGGGAGTTACTTGACTTCTTGGTTCATTGTGATCTCCCCAATTCCTGCTAATCTCTCCTCACTCCACAGGTGTTAACACCTTCTCTCCTTTGTAATGGTCTCAGTGTTTCACAGTACAAAATATCCTTTCTTTTGCAATTCAGCTGTCTGTCAGCCATGCCTGGTGATGTCTCTCTTCTATTTCACAGCCCTGTGGACTGCTTTGAGCTCCAGCTCAAAACCTTAACTTGGATGCGGTCACATTAACTCATGGGTGAAAACAACTGACAGTGGAGCATGTCAAGACTCTTCAAGTCAAGGGGCATTTTTACATATGTATCCATTGCAGCACCAGGCACTTTAAAAAAACACCCGGTGCTGCAACGCATCCACTTATATAAGTGGCAAAAATGGCAGTGGTGCACTTTTGAACTAATACACCTCAGAGGTGCTTTAGTTCAGAAGCTCACCGTCACCATTCTCTGCATGCTGACATGCATTTCACTGCTTATACAACTGCACGTGGTGCAGTGCAGTTCGCCTCAGCTCACGTGTGGCGCAGACTTGATTAATCAAGTCTGCTCCAAAGCGGCCGATCTCTGGTGCGTCGCTGGAAAAACAGTATGTGTATAAGTGCCCAAGAAGGCTATATTTTGTTTTATGAATTTGAATAAGAGATATACACCTACCTAAAATGACTATAGGACTACTGAAACAACATCTTTTGACAGTGTTTTGCCTAGTTACAGTTTTTTTAAACTTAATATATAATCTAGCACAAGGGTAGCCAACCCACAGCATGCGGGTGCAATAGGTGGTATGGGTAGCCTCTGTGTGGGGCACGTGGCAGACTGGGGAGGTGACAGGCAGCACTGGGGCAGATAGGCCAAGGAGCAGAACAGGGCCAGACTTACAGGTGGGCAATGGGGGTGACTGCCCAGGCCACCGTGGTCAGGGGGGAACCACACACTCACATGTGCGCGCGTGCATGAGCAGCCTGCGCTCACAACAGAGCTCTGCCCCTGCTCCACCCCAGCTGATCCTCCCCAGGCACGAGGAGCAGTGCCCAGCCCAGCGTGCCCCCCACCTCCAGCCGCTGCCCAGGAGGATGTGCAGGCGGCATGGCACCTGCTGCAGCCCACCCGCCTTGCTCCTGCACAACAGCAGTGGTGCCTGCCAATGGGGAAGCAAGTGTCCTGATAAACCTAGCAGCTCCCCCCAAGGCTTTATTTCTGATTTTTTTTTTTGCTGATACTACTACATAAAAGCAAAGAAAAGATGCCAAAACACAAGTTTACCCAGGGCACCATTTTCCTTAAGGTGAGCTCTGGAACAGAAAGGGGAGGGGACTAGAGTGGCACTCGGGGACAGTGCAAGACTAATTTGTGGTACGGCTGCCAAAGAGATTGGCCCCTGCTGATCTAGCAAATAAGTGCATGTTCCAGTCATGTTATATTTGTTTTTCTTTGATCTTAAACCAAATCATCTAGCAGGGCCCCTGGCATGTTAGTAAAGCTTCTAGTTTCTCTTTAACTGGAGAAAAACATGTGATGCTGCAGAATACCATGTGTACCTAAAAATCATATATCCACCCATGGCACCATCACATCTGCATTTTGATTATTACCCATCTGAGATCAAAACCCATTATTTCCCATCTGAGATCAAAGCCGGCTTGCAATCCTTTACCCACTACGTTTGCCACCACAGCCGCCTTCACTGCTTAGGCACAGCCTGAAATACAGCTACTTTCACATGGAAGAAGGAAGGGAAGCAGAGCTTGGGTACTTACAGTATAGATCGCTTCTCCTTTTTGCTGCGCAAAAAGAAAGAGAAAGAGATGAATCAGGAGGAATGGGAAGGAAAACACCACAGACAGCAACCGCCCCTTGTGATTTCCTACATGCCATGTGGGAGAGCTCCCAAATGAGGCCTGGCCCCTGGAAACAACTTGACCTTTCCCCAGCTCAGCCCCCAATGGGAATTTTTGATTGACCGACAACATGTCCCTGTAGCGTCCCTTCACACATTGCCCATCAGCAAGGTCTGTAATGGGCTATACCTCATTCTGCTGGGATATGCGAGGTGCTGGTTTCCTGGGTCGGGATCCTGAAATGGAGACAGTGGTCATAGCTCCTCTTCCACTGCCGTGTCCCTGTGTACATGGGGCTGAGCACACAGATGAGTCCCTGGTGCAAAGGTTCATGCAGAGCATGAGCCATGCACCCCGGGCTCAGGCTGCCTGTGGAGGGGACCTGTTTATATCAGGCCCCGAGGGGCAGAGCTCAGAGCCACATGCCAGGCACAGGAGAAGCCTTGGGGCCTGTGATGGCTGCAGCTCAGTCTTCCCGCACAGGTGAGCCCACTGGTGATGCCCAGGGAGCATCTGGGGGCCATGCACTTTCTTACCCCATCTGGGAGGGCAGCAGATCCAGATGAGACTCAGGGGAATTGTGAACAGCAGTAGGGCGCTGCCCACTGCCATGACAGGGAGCAAGATGCAGGGTGCGGAGGGAGCTACAGGGGAGAGGAAAAAACCTCACATCAGTGCTCTTGCCCCTCTCCACTCTGCAGCAGCGGAGTCCAGTGGGCAGAGGACCAGAGAGAGCTGGGCTCTGTCCCTGGAGCTGCCACTCACCTGTAAGACACTGCCCCACCCCGTGCCTCAGTTACCCCTCCTGCAAAGCAGCAATGGGACTACCAGCCCTTGTAAAGCCCTGGGAGACCTCTGCTAACTGAGATCTAAGGATTTCCTGTATTCAGTCCACACTGCCCTGTCTGTCTCAAGGAGATCAGGGCTGCTCATTCCTTACTGAGCTAATTGCTGTTCCTCAGGACAGGAGTTTCCTGGCATCCTCTGCCAGCTCCAAAACTTTCTCTGGACCATTCCCCTCTCCCATAGCCCCTCCATCCCTTGGGGTATCCAGCAGGCTCCTCTCCTTCCTTGAGTGGCTCTTAACTCCCTTTTTCCCTGGATATTATCATTGAAGTCCTCACAGAGGTCTCCGAGATAGCCAATGCCTTGTCTCATGACCTGGGCGCTGTTTCATGCCACCTTTTACCTAATTTCCTGCAGATCTGTCTGCTTGCAAGCACAACACAATTGTCCAGCCTCCGTCACTCATGTTAGAGGCATGACTGATTGCAGGTGCTTCTTATGAACATTATGTCTTAGTCGGAAATGTGAAACCACTCACAATTATACGTGGCATGTCTGAAAACGCTGCTGCCAGATGAGTTGAATATGACCTCGCAGCTGAAGGCTGCCCCGCTGACCCAGCTTGCCCAGGGGATGCTGATGCAATGGATGAGTGTTAAGGACCCATCGCTGCCTTCCAGCGAGTGCGGCAGCCTCTGGACTGGCTCCTCTCTGGGTACATGCCAGGACACCTGGACGAGGTTGGAGATGCCCTGGATCACACAGGCCAAATGTGCAAGCTCCGTGGCTCTGTTCCCCTCTACAACGGGGACCAGGAGCAGCACGGAGCTGCTGTCGGTGAAGCTGTCTGGGCAGAAAGGAAACCAAGAGTTCAGGGGGAGACAGAGCTGAGCTGCAGCCCCACCAGAGCTGTAGGTCTGTCACTGAGAGACTAACAGTGATAAAAGTCTATTGGGGAATAAGGAAATGTGCCATCCCTTGCTGAGCTGGAAGAGAAGAACCCATCCAATGCACAAGTGTCCTAGCCAGGAGAAAGCTGGGCAGCCTTGTAAAGGCAGCACTAGCAGGCTTCAGGGGTTCACCCGCCATCATGGCTCAGAGGCTGCACAGACCAGCCCCACAGAGACTCCAGCACTTCCCCTGCGGCCCTTTCAAGGTTTTCCCTGTAAAAAAACACAGCATAGCCCATTCTCTCTCTACCCCAGCAGCTAACATGGGACCCATTTTACTTGGCTAAAAACACAGCTTCTTTTAAGCAATTTACTCTTATGATTCTTCCAGTTTAATGTTGGTTTCTAATGGAGCAGGAAGAATGAGACACTCAGACACTTTAATTATTCTAGTGAAAGAAGCAGTGGGTCGTTACCTCCAACAATCACCGTGGTTCCGTTCCCAAAAGTCCAGCAGTTGGTGGCTGCAAGTGCACAGTAATAAATGCCAGACTCCTTCCTTTGGATCTCCCTGATTTCCAGGGTTGCGCTGTATACCGTATGCTTGCAAGCAAGTCTGCTCACATTTTTATCCCGACACTTCTTAATGTGTGTGGGGGTCTCACCCGCCCTTCTCAGATACCAGTGCACATTTGCTCCCCCTTCCAAATTTTCCTTGGAGGAACAGGGGATCTCTGCTGTCCCACCAACTTCCACAAACAGGAACCGCTGAGGTTGGTGCAGATGTAACTGGACTCCCAACACTGGAAACACAATGGCGAAATCGTCACCTCCCAGTGGGTCTCAGGCTGACACTGGTACCCCTCACATCTCAGGACCAGAAGACATTTGCTGCTAATACTTACGCTGAGCACAGGCAAATACAACCCAAGTCCTGCACATCCTATCTGAGGACTAGGAACACATTCAAAGACCTCTCCAGAGCGACTGATCAAACATCCGGCTCCCCTCCAGTGCTCCGTGCTCAGGGTCCTACAGAGCTGTACCCAGGGACAACAGTATCAGGCACTCAGGAAGCAACATTTCTGGAGAGAGAAGCAATCATGCCTGGCTGCCCCGGGGCTCGGGTCCTGTTCACTGCTGCAGACGCAGGGGCAGCAACAAGGCCAAGGGCTGTGATGAGGAGCTCCTCCCCGGGGGATGTCCTACTGATAGCAAGCACTGTCCTTGAGTTATCTGAGGAAACTTCTGGTGACACAACCTGCCTCTTACTGCATGCCATTGCTCTATAGGGGGCAGGGCTGGATGTGCTGGTGAAGAGCTATAACCAGGTAGGCACTGTTCAGGGGAGGCAGGGGAAGCATTTCCAGAAGCCCCCTTTTGTCTCCAGAGCAGACGACCATTTGAATCAGTGATTTAGGCACTTGGGATCCTAAGGGCTTACCCAACAGAACCCCAACAAAACTGGGCTGTGAATTCAAAGGGTAATTGCTTTTCCCACTCTCACCCTGGGATGACACTGCTATTCTGCACCAGGACACCCGTGCAATTCAGCCTCACGTCTTCCTGTGCTATCACCCAGGTGGAGCAGCTTCTCTCTCAGCGGTGCTTGCGCTGTTCCCTTCCCAGGGATGCCCTTTCTCTCTCTTACCTGACCTCAGCAGGGAGCTTCGGGTGCTCAGTTCAATTCTGGAGGTAAACCTATTTCCACTGAAGCTTTTGCTGGTGTAAGATTGTGATTGTGAGCAAGCAAACTAGTCCTGTAAGGGTTTCTACCCAATGGAGATTATAGAGGATGGGGATGGGCTTTTGTATGCAGCTGCAGAGGACAGGACCAGAAGCAGCAGCCTCAAGCTGCAGCAGGAAACCCAGAAGCTGGAGATGAGGATGAACTTTCTGACTATGAGAGTTGTTGAGCATTGGAAAAGGCACCTAGAGACCCTGTGGAGTCTCCATTTTGGATGTGCTCAAGAGTACGTTGGACAGACCCTTGGCCTGGATGGTTCAGTCAGGGCTGATCCTGCTTTGAGCTGGGGCTGGACTAGCTGTGACCCTGTGAGGTCCCTTTCGGCCCTCCTTTCCTACAATCCTCTGCTCTTTGCTGGCCCTTTTCCCATTGGGCATGGTGAATTGCTGAGACAGCATTTGGTGAGGGCTGGAAATAATCAATTCAACTTCTGCAAAGACATGCCTTGCTCTTGTAGCTTGTGGTTCAGTACAGGAGAAGGTTAATGAGCACTAGCTGACCCCTTCTAAGTAAGCGAGCTTGAGAAAACACCATCACAGGAAAAACAGAGCATACCGCTAAGTGTTTCACAAGCCAATGACCTAGAACTACAGGAATACAGAAAACACATTTAGACTGACCACAAAGGCAGGTTTGGCACTGGTGTGGCCGTTAGCCTTGGTGGGGAGGATTAAAATCCAGGGTGGGAGAGAGAACGTGGTGGCTGCTTTTTCTTTCAACCTTAGTGTAGCAATTAAAATGCACAAATAAATAGAGTCACCGCCGCTGTTTCTGGCTCTGAGGCCAGATCACACTATGGACGAGTGGCTGTAGCTCAGGCTGAGATCTGTGGCACTACAGTGGTTTCTACCAGCGACACCGCCTGGCTGGTGAAGTTCAGTTGACTTGTATCAGCAAAGATCTACTCGACAGATGAAGTGTGACTGGGGAAAATAAACTACCTTTCATTTTATTTCAGTTAACTAAGGACATATAAGCAGAAGCACCACAGCCCTTATTGCTGTGCTGTAAGTCTTTGAAATAAGAGAGACTTTCTAATTTTAATTCATATAAAGAAACTGAATGGGAGTGATAAGGGTACCAGAGATGGACAGCTGCAAGGTAACTGAATAAAGGGTCTTTACAGTCAGAGGCAGCATAGGCCTTAGCACATGGGTCTGAAATGCTGTTGTGTCATGATTGTGCCCTTAGCACACTTCTCCCATCTGGACGAAGATCTGGGGCAGGATGTCAAGATACCCTAACTATAGCACTGCAAAAGTGAACATTAAAATTACTCTTTTTATTTCATTCAAAATCAAGTAAATTAAGATGCTCACTTGTTGGTAATGTTTGAAATTTGCTAAAAAATAAATAAATCTCCTGCCTTCAAACCAGAAAATTGGAGAAATGTTTCTGAACATTGAAGGAAAATGTAAGTTCTGTGAAGTAATGCTTAAGAACAGATTTTGAGTTCATTTAATACTGAAAAGCAGAAGATCATGAGATATGCATTACCCAGAGTTGGAGGGAAGTGGCTGGTGGGGTTAATTATTACGAAGTTATTATTATCTACGAAGAAGAAACACAAGAAGTTAACCGCGACGGAAACAATGACCCATCAAGAGACTGAAGGAAAGAGAAGAAAAGAACACAAGACTCCCGTGGACATTGATGTGGGGTCAAGGAGCCCTGCTGATGGAAGATAAGTATCTGTCTTTACATCTATTTTAGGGGACTGGATGTATCTTTAAACGTTCGTGCTGTTCTTTGCTAAGCTAAGATTCATGAATAAATACAGTGTTAAAAACCCCTTTCACCATCCTCCCCACCTAGATCTGGGGCTCTCAGCACTGCCCCTCCAGAAGCTGCCTCAAAGTGCGTCACCTCTCTGCTCTCCACTCTCAGCAAGAGGACATACAGGCGGTTGCACACTGCGTTGTGCAAGAGCCTGGTACTGCACTGCCAACATCAGTGGATTTTGTCACCACCGTTGGTGGGCAGAGACAAAACTGTTTGATTTGGAGGATTAAAAAGGACATTAAACTCTCAGAGGTGTAGGAATCACTATCAGCATGCTCCCACACATCTCTGGTATTTAAAAGAGTCATTTTCTGGCCAGCCAGCTTGTGAATCAAATGCGACACCTCCTTCATGTATCAAGAATGAGCATACACACATGCACACAGCTGCTTCTCAGGGTGTTTCATGAAGCTAAATTGCCTGACAAATGTGGCGTACCAAGTTGATGAGCAGGGCAGGAGACCAGTTTACCTGCTATTGTAGCTCAGCTTGGCTGTTTCAATCAAACCTGTGTCTGAAATATAGCAGGAGAGGTGGCTGCACCCTCAGCAACTTCCAGACAGGTTCGGTACAACGGGATTGTAGGGTGAGATCCAGTGATGTGCAGGAGGAACAAGGCCTGTGAGGACACAGGTAGCAAAGCCCATGCAGGGTGCAGCTCGATGGTCATCTCCTCAACAGCCTCTTCCATTTAGATAGAGATCTGCTCTAGAGAGGGGCAAAGATCTCAGTTCTTGTCTTTTAAGTTCATGCTGAAGATTGTGCATCAGGTTGAAACTGTGGAAGAGGCTGAGACTAAAACCCCTCTCCACAAATAAAGCCACAGTGAGCTATTAATCCCACAGCTCTTGGGATAGGGACACTCACCACACTCAACTCCATCTCTGCCCTAAAATGCCCCAAGCAGCCCCCAGAACAAAGCAGGACCCTGAACCCACCATTGCACAAATGAGGCCACCAAAAAATCAGATGAATGAAAGGGGGGAAAAAAATGAGAAAGCAAATGAAAAATTTTGCTGGGGATTCCTGAGCCTCTCCCATGGGCAGAAGTGACTGCTGCATTTCTGAACCAAGTCCCAATTGCTTGGCATAGGGATTTGGGCTTCTAAGTCACTTGGGGGCTCTGGAAAATGTTTCCCCAAATCCCACCTGGAAATAAAGGTTTTCTTCTGAGAAGGATGAAGTGTCAGAGACTGTGTGAAGACCGCTCTGCCTGTCACTGCTTGTGGAAGTGGAGTGAGAGGCATGGCCTTTAAAGGAAAACCCCCTTCATCAGCTCAGCCGTGTGCACGGCCCCTTGTGGACTGCTCCACCTGGAAGGGAGGGAGCTGTTCCTCCTCTGTCCTGGGAGGTGCTCCATGGACAAGAGTGTGTGTTTCCAGCAGGAACTGAGACAGAGGGAAACCAGGACAGCATTTTTGTCACAGGCACAGCCTGAGGGATGTTTCATCCCCAGCACTTTCACAGCAAGTCCTTGCATGTTGAGATGCTGAACTCACCTGCAACCCATGCAATTCAATTTGCTGAAGTCCAGTCTGATTGATCCAATTCACTTGCTCTGTGGAAGCTTGACCAGAGCATCCTCACCTCGCACATTCAATGGACTTACAGTAGAGCAAGGACCAACTTAGATAATGCTGAAAAAGGACGTCTTGCTCCATGGAGCAGTCTCATGTCCATCATTATGTTAAGGATGGGAATGGAGCAGCAGTGAATGGCATTAGATGGACAAGGCAGAGGGCAAGGAAGAAGAGCCCAGGTCAGCATCCCATACAGCCCTGTTCACATGCTCAGACAGCATGGTGTATAGGTCTTTACAGGGTCCTGCCTAATGAGTGGAAGCTTCAAAAAGGTCTGTGAGGGTTATATCATCACCATGTATATCCATAGGGCTATTTAAGCATTGCTGACAGCAAGGTAGAGGCCCGGGCCTTGCTTACCTTGTGCTGAAGTGTGGTGAGACAATACTGGGATGGGATTCAGTGGACAGCTGGTTTGCTATTGGGGGGAGCTGAAAGACTTCTTGCAAATAAACCCCAGGCTGGTCATATATTCTTGACCAGGGGGCAGTAAGGACTGACTCATTCAGCATGTCTGAGGTCAATGTACCACCCGCCAGCGCCCTCCTCTTGTAGACGTGCCCCGCTCCGAGTTGAGACAGGAAACTGATCTTCTTCCCTCATGACCCAGGCTTTCAGAAAGAAGAGACCCATCGAGCAGCCTCACAGCGCTTAAGAGACCACACCATGTCCTGCCCCTGGGCTGGGATCCTGCTCCTCGCCCTGCAGGGTAAGTGTTTCAGCTTCATGTTATTTGCTTGCCACATAAGAACAATTCCCTTCTGCACAAGGACATCCTGGCAGGAGGGAAACACCCAGCTGGGCTGCACAGGAGAGATGGAGACAGGAAAGTTAGACATTTCATTCACTGAGGGATATAATACAATGATGTGTGTGATGAAAAGCCCCTTGGGAGAGTGCAGCAATGCAGCAAATGATCCTCATCTGTGTCTGGTCCCAGCTGGGTGTGATGATGCTGCGCTGGAATCGGGACAATTTTCAGCCCAGCTTGCTGGGGTTTCAGCTAGTCTTCGGGACACAGGGATTGTCTGGCCATAAAGGACTGAAAGGAGCTCCAAAGGCTTTTGGGGCTTGAGTGAGAGCTGCTTCTGAGGCAGTCGAGGGACTGTCTGATGTGTAGTGGAGAGATCTGTGGCCCGTTTGTTTTGGGCAGAAATAAGAGAGAAGCAGATCTTTGCATTGAGGGAAAATGTGAAGTCCTGGGCTAAGGAAGAGAAAAGCAATTTGCTCCTTTCTGACAACTCACAGCTGGGGAACACTGGTACTCCTTACATGGAGAAGAATAAGTGTCAGAAGTAAATAGAATTTCTTTTTCTTCATTTGCTACTTGATATGGCTGCATTTTAATGGTTCTTTATGTATCATCCGATATTATGTTCCATTTTACTTCTCTTCGCATGAGTTGAGCGGGTCATTTTCTTGCGTGCTTTCCCCACTAACCCCAAATCCTGTGACTCCATAACTGTACCACAGGTAATATTATGCTTCATTCGACTGTGTCACTTTAGTGAAAACTGTAGATAAATGAGGATATTGCACAGGGGGAGCTGACTGCACTGATCCCCCCGCTTCACACACCGCGCTTTCCTATGCAGTGGCTGCTTCCCAAGAGCAGCTGTGGCTGCAGCAAAGCCCAGGAGAGATCTGGACGACCCCAGGACAGGCTGCGGAGCTGAACTGCACTGTTTCATACCGGCGATCATCCGTATACTGGTATAAAGAGAGTCAGGATGGCAGTCTGCAGTGGGTTGCTGAGACTGGTAAGCATGGATCCGCAGAAGGAAGATACTTGAGTCAAGTGAGCAGCTCAGGGAAAATGTTCTCTCTAGTCATCAACAAGCTGCAGGAGGAGGATTCTGGGGTTTATTACTGTACCCTCGATGTCTCTACACATGCTGACTTCGGGAATGGGACCAGGCTGATCGTCTCTGGTGAGTTTCCAACAGGTCAGAAATTGTCAGTCCATGGATGGGAGGCAAAAAGAAATTCCCATTTTTGACAACTCTGTCACCCCAGCATCAGTTCCAAGCTGTGAGTGAGCTCAGGGACGGCAGGGACTAGGCAGTGACCAGGGCAGGGAGTGGGAGTGGCAGACCTGGGCTCTGGGTCTCACTCAACAGATCCAGGATTGCAACTATCTCAGATCCCAGCAGCTCCAACATGAGAGCCCAAAGACATGACTGGGATTTCCAAACTGTATGGCCTCTGCAGCCAGGACCCTGGAACAGGGAGCTGGGTGCTGGACACCAGGGAGAAATCTCTACTGAGCTCCTGTCCCAAAGACTCTCCCTGCACCCTGAGGGGCTCAAGGGGCCTGGGGTGAAAGCTCATGTCATGGTTTAGGCTTCAACAGGCAGTTTCTTCCTCTGCCTGCAGTGCGACAGGAAGTGAGCACCAACCCTCCACCCTCCTCCCTGGTTCTGGATTTCCACCCTCACCCCACGCAGAGATCCAGAGGAAAGGGAGGGAGGGAGACACTGTGGGAAACTGTGCGGGAAACCGTGGGGAAACTGAGGCAGAGAGCAGAGGGGCTAATAGTTCTCCAGAGGCACTGGGCAAAGCATTACCCAGTGGGTTGCTTTTCTGTCTCCCTGGCTCACATTCCTCCCACCAGACCAAGTCTCCTTCTGTGACCTGTGCACCAAGAAGCCACTGCTGGCACTTGAGATAAGAAACCCCTTGTAAAAATACCTGGATCCAGGTCCTGTTGGGTTTGATGTTGAAAAGGGGGTAGACAAAGCTCTGGGCATCTCAGCTCTCCTGCCGGGGCCAGGTGGGTACGAGCTGCCCTGTAGGGAATAGGCAGCGTTCCCCCAGCCTCTGGCCCTGATGCTCCCTCTCTCATGCAGACACCCCCCAGCCCAGCCTTGCCATCCTAGTGCCTTCCCCCACAGAGGAGGCCGAGCTCCCAGACCCTGTCCCCCTGCTCTGCCTGCTCTCTCCGCATGCTGGGGACTGGGGGGCAGCTCTCTGGGATGCCAGGGAGGAGTCTCCAGGGAAAGCAGATGCAGGAGCCCAGGACAGGGCTGGCAGGTGGAGCCTGAAGAAGGTCCCCAGGCAGAAGTGGATCGCAGGGACACACAGCACCTGCACCGCCAGAGAGGAGGAAACCGGGAGAAACATCAGCACTGCTGTGGCCAAGGGCATGGGTTCTGCATCACGGGGTAGGTGAAGCCTGTCCCTGGGCATCACCCCTACCCCTCCCTGTGGTCTCTGGGAACGGGCCCCTCATCCGCTCCATGCAGCAGGCTCTGTGCCCTGCTCTCAGCCTCTCCTCTCCCCGCAGGGCCCTGCTGGGTCACACACTGGGTGGGGCTGCCCTGTGTCTGCCTCCTCCTGCTGATCCAGGGCCTGATCCTGCTCTCCATGAAGTGCCCCACAAAGGTAAGGACCAGAGTGTGCTCTTGGGTCAAGCCCCCGGCCTCACTCCTGCCCCACTAATGGCCCCTGCTCTACTTCCTTTATCAGGGACAGCAGCAGCACCAGGGAGTGACGTGTGCGCAAGGCAGAGCTCAGAGGTAACTGCTTCTCCAGCCCTGTCAGAAACATGCTCAGAACTGGGGTCTGGGCTCATCCCGGCCTGGTACCTTCAGATCATCTCTTGAGCAACTCAGCAGAGTCACTGCAGTAATCATTGATTCCCCCCTTCCCCGCTGCTGTCAGCGCTGTGCTGGGTTCATGGTGCTGAACTGCTGTGTCCCACCCCAGAGGCAGCTGCATGGCTGTGGGGGGACACTGTGCTGTGCATGGGGTATTGCAAAAGAAAATCCAGGTCAGAGCATTTCTTAGAGTGAAAAAAGTCCCAGGAAGCAGGTGAATGGAGGGGGCTGTGTGATCTAATGGGACACATTAACCTTGGCAGTCAGGGCAGGACACCTGAGTCTTCTTTCTGAGACTGGGTCTGAGCAACTGAGAGCTCAAGCCCAAGTCCTGGCCCCTCTCTGGGCCTCAGTTTCTCTTCCCACTAACTTTTTATTGACTTTTCCTTAAGTATCAGCACAATCCTTTATCCTGTGCTCATACTGCACCAAGCATTGTGGGGTGCTGACAGATGGGGTCTCCGGGCTGTGCTACCCAGAACTGCTGAGACATCTCTCCTCTTGTGTTGCAGATGGAATATGCAGCTGTGAGCCACCGTGGCAGAAATGCTCCCACTTCACTGATGTGTTCACATGTTTACCCTTAAAATAAAGAGTGTGGGGACATGCATTTGCATGAGGGAGAGGCACATGAAGCCAAGCACCTGCCCACTGTGTAAGCGTGTGTGGGGAGGAGGGTGAGGGGGCAGGCTGACCACTGGACATAGGAGATGCACATCTCATACCCTGCATTTTGTGGCAAGGACCAAAAATGATGGAAAGGGAAACAGTACAGGGGTGGGACATGGTTTTTATTAGGCAACAGTTGCAGGCCACTTTGGGCCAGGAAGTCAGACTCACGCTGTCTGCTGTTGAGGCTACACAGTAGGGGTATGCAAAGTGCACCGTATTCGATTCAGATTCAGCCCAATTCAGGGGACAGTGATTTGATTCATTGATTCAGATCACTGTCCCAATTTGATTCAGTCAAATCCGAACCTAAAGATTCAATTCTGATTCACAGAATCAGCAATTCAGCCATGGACACAGCTTGACATGTTTTTTCTACATGCCTCAAGGTACCAGGTGTGGCTTATGAATGCTGAGATGGTGGCGTGGATGGAGCATCCCACAGGAGTATGGGGGACCCCCCTTCCCCCACATCCACCCAGCTCAGCAATTGGCCACAGGGGGACCACAGGTGCCCGCCCAGACCCAGGAGTCACCAGTTGCCGAGCCGGAGGGGTGCAGGGCCCCCGTCCCCCACGCTCCCGTGGGACACTCCATCCACCCCGGCATCTCAGCATTCACGAGCTGTCTGGTACCTTGAAATATGTAGAAAAAACATTTAAAGCTGTGTCATGTCCAAATCATTGAATCTTGCTGAATTGATTTGGAGAGTTTTGATTCAATTCAGAGAGATTAAAGGGTCTCCTGATTTGATTTGGATTTGGAGATTTGGCCACTGAATCAGGCCAAATCTCTGCCAAATTGAATCAGTGACCAAAGCTTCGTGCAGCCCTACTAAACAGGGAGTGTACATGCCCCATGCAGGATCCTGCCACCCTGCCCCACTGCCCTGGGTCCCCCAGGCCGAGGCCTTGCACACACCAGGGGCTGCAACATCTCCCCACAGACTACAGTCACCCTGTCCATGCTGCCTGTGTCTTGTGGCAGGAAACCTCCCAGAGCCTGAGGCTGGGATCTTCTGCTCTTGATCTCTAGAGTGGAGGGCAGAGTTCATGCTTGGAGCTGCACTGAGGAACTGGTCTAGCCAGAACATCCCAAGGCAGCAAGAAGCAACAAAAACCACAGGACAGTGGTTAAGGGAACAAGAACCAGCAAATCAGCAGGGAGCAGCTGGGGATTTCCAGGCTTGATTCCTTTGTGCTTGAGACTTTCCCTGCTTTCCTTCCATTGGAGCTGACTATGAGTTCTCCAGTGGTGCTGGGATCACCCTGTGGCTGGGCATAAACTTCCCGAACCTGTGTGACCACAGGGGCAGCATCAGGTCCCAGCCAGAGTGAGACTGTGCCAGGCTGGGCATGGCAGGAGGTGGCACTTTTCAATCTGTTCTAGTATTTTTATGAATCTGCTTTGTATAAACTGGGCATCACCGCCCCTGGGCACCACATGGTCGGGAATTCTGAGTGGTGGGTAATGTAGGGTTACCATATTTCTAGTATCAAAAAAGAGGTCACCTGTGGGGGGAGGGTGGGAGGGAAG